AACACAGTCCCCATGGTCTAGGGTGCACATTGACTACGCTGGGCCCTTTCAGGGCCAGTTCTTCTTGGTCCTTGTTGACAGCCATTCAAAATGGCTTGAGGTTGTGCCTGTCTCATCCACCACCACTGCAAAGACTATTCAGGTACTGAGGGGGATTTTTGCTGCACACGGGCTGCCAGATGTCATTGTGTCCGACAACGGCCCTCAATTCACCTCCTCCGAATTCCAAGCTTTCTTACAGGCAAACCTGATTCGTCATGCCACATCTGCACCTTTTCACCCGTCCACCAACGGTATGGCTGAACGCATGGTGCGCATCGCAAAGGACGCCTTGAAGAGACTCACCTACGGGGACTGGCATCACAGGTTGGCTGACTTTCTCCTTTCTTATCGCACCACACCGTCCACTTCTACAGGGAGAAGTCCAGCTGAACTTCGTTGGGGGCGCCAACTTACTACTAGACTTGACCGGTTGCATCCGGACAGACTGCCTTCATCTACCTCACATCCTAGGGCACCTAGACAACTACTTGTGGGTGCCCCGGTTTGGGCTCGCAATTACGGGCCTGGTCATACATGGGTCCCCGCTTCTGTGTCCAGGATCACAGGTCCTCTCTCCTACGAGGTTGCCCTGGACAACGGTCGTGTCCTGCGTCGGCACATCGACCAACTTCGCTCTAGGCGAGACTTTTCTGCTGAGACTCCTGGGTCTTTTCCAGGGGGGGAGGGGGACCCTTTGGAGCAAAGGGAAGGGCAAGAGCTACTGCCCATCTCCACTGAGGGAGCCACAAACGGCTCGTCCCAAGGTTCTGCAATTGCTCCGAAAAGAAAGTCATGGAGCTTACCCACACAACAGGCACTCACGCCTACTCCAGCCAGGGAGTCACCCCGGGGGCATACTCACTTTCCACACACATCACACAGCACTCCAGCAACGGAGGATACCCGGGGGCATCCCAACAAATCATTCCCCGCAAGAGAGCTGGCACACAATTCCCAAGGTTGGCCTGACCTTACCCCAAATCCTACAGGGGGTCAAACATACACAGAGTTAGTCGAGGAACCAAGTCCCGACTACAACAACCCTAGCACAAATCAGGGAACACCTGAGTTTTGGGAAAGTACAGAAACCCACACGAGCCCGAACACAGAATGGGGTTCAGGGAATGGACAGCCTCCTGACAGGTCTTGGACTGACCTAGGAGGTTCTACAGAGACGCCCAGCAGCGGCTATCACTTCAAGGGGCCTGAGGGTCTACAGCTAGGTAGGTCAACCAGGTCACAAAGTAACAGAAGCCCTGGCCTGACGAGCCCGGTGGGCAAGCAAGCAGGCCAGGCATCGGGGCACAGTCCTTGGAAGACACCAGGGCACAATAGAGAGAACAGGCTCACGCCTCCCTCCAGTCAGGGGACTTATGCCAGTAATCCAGAGCTAAGAAGGTCACAGAGAGCAAAGAAATCTCCCAAGTACCTAGAAGACTACATAACATTGCTGGCAAAGCAAAAGCCAGTAAACAGTGGGAACATTGGGGAGCAAAATGTCATATAAAATAAATGTTGTATGTTGGTAGTAGTTTTAGCCCGGGGGAAAGGGGTGTTATGTCCCGAGCCTTTGCAAACGGCTCGGGCGTTTGCAGGCAGTCCCGGGCAGGTGCAAAGCTGCCCGGGACCAGACAGGCTGTCGCCAGCGCCGTGCGCATGCGCGGGTGCTGGCGCGGGAAAAGTAACCCATTTACCCGGGAGTTGCCTATATAAGAGGCTGCGAGGCGTTTGGGCGAGGCTGAAGCCATCTTCCTGTAAGCTGAACGCTGAATAAATGAAACTGAGAACTCCAGCTGCTTCTCGTGTCTGTTTTCCCGCCACGGACTCAACAGTATGGATCTACAAAAGAGAAAACTATATATTTAAAAGTTTTAAATTATATAAATGTAAAGTCCTTGATAATTTATAATTATATAAATATCCATTTTTAATGAATGTCTATTTCTGGTTTGTTTAAAAAAATGATGCACAAAATGCAACAGTCCATAAGTGCCAGCTGTTCATTAACATGGTTTTAATAATGACAATGCAATAGGTATATTTTTGCCCCAAGAAATCTGGAAATAGGTAAAGAATCAGCTGTAAAATAGATTAATAGCCTTGGAATATTTCAAGGACTAGAACAGTGGCTCCAGGATTACTAAAACAATTCAAACTTTGTTTTAATTACTTTTGAAACAGCATACTATTATTTCAGCATTAATTATGTGGAGATATATAATGAAAAGCTAAGGGCCAGTTATGAATCTTAGGAAAAAGAGATAAATGATTGTATAAATCGTTCTATCTTGATGCTTGTTGAGTCCTCGAGTCAACGGCAAATGAATAGAGCACATTCTGTAATTCCAACAGCCTTTTATTTCAGTAGTTCTCTCTCCGTCACAGCTCTGAGGCTCGCAGGCCTCTCTGTCTCCTTTTAATAGAATCCCCGGGCAAAAAGGTAACATTCTGGCGCGCTTCCGCGCCTCGTGCATGCGCACGAAGCTGGCGCCACTCAGTCTGGTCCCGGGCAGCTTGCAACTGCCCGGGACCATTGCAACGTCCCTTTGCAGGCTCAGGACACAACAATGCTGTTCTTTTTTACCTTCACCGCAGCAGGAGCTTCTGATCTCTTTACCTAAAAGCTTTGATTCAGGACTTAAACTGCAATGTGTGGAAGATCAATTTTTTTCCCCTTTCTCTTTCCCTGCACAGTCTTGAAGAGTCTGGATTGGAGTCCAAGAATAAGATTATAGGCACATCTTTGATACCAATGTTGCATTTGTTTCTGGGATTATTTAAAATGGGACTAACTAGGCTCACTATTCATATAAAAAAGTTCTTCATCAGCCTTCATACAACCATCAAAGACTTCAAGAGTTTAGCTAAAAATTGTTGAAAAGCTTAACATTAGCGAAGGCTGCTTTCAAGGCTTACGGTATCCTGTGATTACCACAAGATTCAGGTAGCAGAAAATTCAGCCCCATCTTCAAGTTCATTGTCTCCCTTTCAAACTGTTTAGGGGCTTGATTTGGTTATTTTCTCTTTGTCAATTTTTTTGTTTCCTTCAGCTAACACACTAGATCAGAGGTCCCCAACCTTTTGGGTACCAGGGACTGGTTCCGTGGAGAAAGGTTTTTCCATGGACTGGAGAGTGCGTGGTTTTGTGTGCTGCCTGCATCTCGCAGATGGGGCTTTGCTTGTTTGTGCAGACTGGTTGCTGGCATGCTGCGACCCGGTACCAGTCCATGGACTGAGGGTTAGGGACCCTGCACTAGATGTAAGTATAGCCATCTCCTGCACTGATATTTTTATATCACAGATATTGACAGCTCAATATCTCAACTGTAAAACTTAAATAAAAACACACTATATAACGTTAACTTTTAGTATTTTTGTGCAAACAGAAAAAATAATCTAGGAATTTAATATTTTAAGCATTTCTTTAATTGCTCAATTGCTTCTCTTATTATCAATTACTGCATATAATTACAGAAAATGTTTGAATTAAACTGGTTATTTCTACTTTGTATATAATTCAACTGAATACTTAACATTGGACTACAAATTCAGTGCAACAGTAAAAAAGCGCTGTTCAGTTATTAGTACTAACTGAATAATTATATACTTCATTATTTTATTTGTAGCATTTATTTCTAATAATGCTAATCATCTGCAATTATTCTAATAAAAAGTATATGATACCCTAAGAAAACATAATATTTTGGATATAAATACATTTTATATTAGATATAAATGCATTATGATAAATAAATGGATTAAAGCAGCTTAATGCTAAACTTCAATTCAGGCATTGTTTAACATGCATTTTTAATAACAGGCATTATTTAACAATGTGTGAATCCTCAGATTATTCCTTTGTCTAACTGATTTATATCCTGCCCTTATCCAAAAAAGGCAACTTAAGCCCTTAATAATAAAACAAAAAGCTTCAGTTAAAAAATCAAGCTGACCAAAACTTAAAATGATTCATGGATGGTAAAATCCAGAGTAAAATATTAAAATTCATCAAAATATAGATTAAGGAAATCTCATTGTTATTCTTCTTAAAACTAGAGTCCTCTTTCCCATGTACATGTAGTAATATTTGTGACACATGTTATTGTCCAAAATGGGTGTACATAAATGTAGTAAAAATAAGTTAATATTGCAACAAAAATTACATGAGAAAAGTCCTGCTATCTTTTTCTATAAAGTATATCACATGTATGCACATATAAAAAAGCAGGGTTTCAATCATATGATCACTTGAATTTTGTGACTTCATGAAGGTCCTTGCTATTAAATCAGATAAATAATTGGAGATTTTGTATTTTCATGCACATATTGAAGATTGCTTGACCAACTAGGCAATATCTCTAAATTCATATTTGACAGTGTTTTCAAAAAACCCCAACAATTCATTAATTTGATGTTTATTAATACAACATTGTGAAAATGTATTGTGGTCTACTTAAAAAGAATGTTAGATTTGGATTTAACAAACCAGCTACAGTGGTAATTTTTGTGAAATTAAATTAATGAAACATGAAATAATGTGTTAAATAACTGAAATGTAGTTTTGCACACATAAGGAAGAGTTTCTTTACCTCATAGTTTTGATAGTTGACTCTTAAATTAAAAGTCACAAATTAATATTATGATAGTAAATAGATTAGAAAAATTCCTTGGATTATATACATGATGAAATGTTAAAAATAGACTTGCCCAAGGAAAAATAAACCACATCAGTCAACATTATTTGAATAAAGGTAAGTTAGGCTTGTTGTGATAAATTGTTTTTGAAATCTTATTATGTATCCTGCAATCATTTCCCCCAAAATAGGACTATGGAAATATAAATAATCCAAAATAGTACAAGTACACTTTCTTCATATTTATTAATAACAATTCACAAAATATATTATTAGCCATATTGCATTTTATAAGCTCTGATACACAAATAAGAAGAAACTCACCATTTTGATCTGTGGTAATTGTGATGGCTGTGAACTGCTTTGGTGAAAAGCTTAATTCAGAAACACCATTCATGGCTTCTATTTCAAAAGTGTAGTTCACATGGGACACAAAATCAAGCACAGTCACTGAAGAATTTATAAGCCCACTATGTCTTGGAACAAATCGGATTCCTCCTCCACAAATCTCACACCGCCTGGTATCAGATCCACATTTTTTACAAATGACATTATAGGTAAGGTCTTTTCTCCCTCCTGTGTCACTTGGTGTACTCCATTCCAACATAAGAGCTGTTTCATTTATGTTAAAGATGACATTCCTTGGAGCAGAAGGTGGTCCTACAAAAGGAAAAAGAAAATAATCTGCGTAAGTGTCATTGTCTTATATTAACATACACATTCACACTGAACATATTTTCCATCCTTGATTTACAAAAACAAATTCTGAAGGGCAAATAAAAGAGACAAAAGCTGTGAAGAACTCTTTTTTAAATTTCTTCACAAATATCATATAGAAAGGGGAAAAAAACCATTCATTTGGGCTCCTACAATGATATATGTAAAATATTCTATAGTAATTTGGACAACATCAGAATTTAACTAGGCAAATACAAACATATAAAACTAGGAATAAAATCAGATTAAAAGTAGTATCCAAATTCAGAACACATTCAAGATATGACTTACAGAATCTAGCAGCTGATAAAGTAGGTATAAAATATGGATTGACTGTTCTGAGATTTGACAAAATGATTGATAGTTTTGAAGTCTTTTGTAACTACTTTACAGTTGTCACTCATAATTATACAATTTTTTAAAAAAATGACAGAAAAAGTAAATAAGAATTCATTTTATTATTCACATGTTATATGTTCATACTTTCATGAATCTTCTTCATAGGTAAAGAGCATTTTGCTGTGATTATTTTTATTTGTGAACTGTAACAAAGGATCAAATTGAAAAATATGGGTTACAGTATTTATTATTTATTTTATTTATTAATAAAATTTATATGCCGCCCAATCCCTAGAGACTCAGGGCGGCGTACAAAATTAAAACAATAAATATAACAATAAAATAAGTGCATTCATTCAGCATGTCCCAATCGTATCCCGGCCCCCCCGGGGACATCAACCCCAGACCTGCTGGATCAGGAGAGTTTTAATGGCTTTCTTAAAGGCTGGCAAGGTGGGAGTAGTTCGAATCTCGGGGGAAGTTGATTCCACCAGGTCAGAGCCACCACAGAAAAGGCATATGCATTTTATATTATTGCATTTATTTAAGAGAACCAAAATCAAATTCTTAACATAAAAATATCAGTGGATTTCTCATCTGTTTTCAAAAATCATGGAACTGTAGCATTAATATGCTTCAAACTATTATGGATCCTATTTGTTTTGTTCTAGAATAATAAATTGAGGTAAATGTGATATTTATGATAAGAAGTATTCAAAACCTAAGGAGGTCAGCTTCTGGGGACATACTGTCACTATTTTGAAGTTATTGTTAACAAAAACAATATTTTTTTTAAAAAAACTTTTTACTGGCTACACCAACTGGCCATAAAATTCTGTATGCCCACTAATAATAATTTGATTGCATTGCCAATATTTTCTGTGTCATTTCTCTAATACCTCCACTAAGGCATATGGATATTTATTTGTAATTCAGGATATAATACAGTGTATAGATGAAATAAATTGTAATCCATGGAAATGTAACAAATAATAAATTTGTTAATCACTATGATGCAACCACAATCTTTGTTAATTCTGTATAAATATCATTTGAAGAAATTATGTCCAAGTTATTTTTTTAAAATTACAATTTGCTAATGATTTTCATAGTTAATCAATGTACAGAGGATTTTAGAATTCGTTTATAACAAAAATATGATTTATTGTCCATTTGTACTGCTGTGAACAGGAAATTGTTATCAATTGTGGTAGGAGTGTTTAAAAGTGTATAAATGACAGTGTGCAGATTCTTAAGAAATAGACACCCTTCATACTCAAGGGCCCTCATGCCAATTTGCATGACGATTAAATAGGTTTTTAATTGCCATTAAATTATGCCAACTAAACTGTGATTTCATGCAAATATTAAGCTGTAATGACATGCAGTGAATGATTTACTAAGATTTAGAACTTGGAACAAAGAGAGACAATTAATTATAATCCACAGATTCTGCTAAATTATGTGTCACTGGGATTTTTATGAATGTGGCCTGATTGCTTTGTTATCATTTATACATTATACATAGATTATATGTCACCTTGGGGGGAAAAAACCTGGCAGTCATATCCTTTTTTGCAGACATCTGTGAGTAATACACTCTGGAATTTCCTTATGTTATATATTTTGTTTAGGCAAGCAAATACATGGATGATTTTAAATTATGCATGTATTATATTCCAGATCTAACACATAGTGAATGTTTATTATTGCATTTAAAGTAAAAGTATATGATATCCAATACCTAGACAGATAAGTTGGTCTCATCTAAGAATCTTAGTATAATTGAAGGAATCAAATGAATATCTTGGAAAGAACAGCAACATTGTCAAGGATGTGCCATAATCTTATTCATCCACTCTCCCAGATTGTGCAGGGAAAGGAAGTTTAAGTCCTGGATCCTTGAGAAGGTTTATCCATGTATTGCTGAATTCACACTGACTTGATGCCACATAATCAATTCATATATACACACAGAATCACATACAAAAAAATAAACACTAGTTACCACAAAAATGTTCCTAAAAGTGTAATTATTCTATTAATAATGGAGTTGGTGCAGTGAAACAAAGTGTGCTGTTATTTTGACGATACATGAGACTGAGGAATCCTTTTTCAATATATAAGTGTCTTGGGACTAAAGGAAAAAATAATTTGCATTTTTGATTAGCAAAAACAAATGCTGTTTTTATCTTTTAAAATAATAGGAGGGATAAGTGAAGAATTTTAAACACCAGGATCAATTAAACTTACGGGTACATGCCATAGTTGGTGGATCCTTATCAGCTCGGAAGTAACCTTTTTCACACTGGCATACAGATGTTGCTTGCACAAAGGTTTGGCTGTGTGGAGGACACTTGGAACACTTTATATTTCCAGCAAATGCTTTATAGAATCCTGACCGGCAAGCTGTGAAAAAGAGGAAAGCAGCTATACTTAATTTATGCTACATTGCCTCTACCTATATAAAAACATATTTCTCTGTCTTTTTCAAAAGCATGGTTACACTGTAATGTGACGTAGGAATGGAATGCAGCCTTGGAATGTATAGGTAAGTACAAATTGTATCTTCTGCTGTTCAAATCAAGAAGGGGAGGTTACAGGCAGTCCTACAATTAGATCATCTGTGAGAATGTCTCTTTGCTTTTCATTCTATGGGGACTTCAGTGGCCTAACTGCACTGAGAGGAATTGCACAGCTCATGTAAGTAACCTAGTGTGCACAATGCAGATACATGGGAAATACAAATATATAATACAAATTATCCAGTAATTATTATATGTGTACACTTAATATTTATTAATATTTTTATAGGTTTTATATTCCCATTGGTCAGAATATTATAGTCTAATCTATAGTATAGGAGTAATCATCAGACTTACATTACACTAAGATTTTTTTCCATATATTTAACAGTCAGAAATAAATGAGTGGTAATCACTAGTATAATTATTCATAAAAAATAAAGGTTGACTGAGCCTTCCATCCTTTCAAGGTTGGTAAAATGAGGATCCAGATTGTTGGGGGCAATATGCTGACTCTGTATACCACTTAGAGAGAGCTATAAAGCACTGTGAAGTGGTATATAAGTCTAAGGGCTATTGCTATTGCTAAATCATAATATGCCACAAATTTGCATTAGGTTCCAAATGAGATAAAAAAAATTACAAATCATTCACAGAGATTATGATGCCTACTTCTTCCACAATCCCTAGGAGATAGAAGAAAAGCATTATATGAAATATACTATTTGTAAAAAAGTTCCCAGCTTTAACAATTTTGTACCCTTATGGCTTAGAGAAATATTTGAATTTTTGAGAAAATACTGTGATCCCTTTCACAGAATGACTTCTACCATAGGTTAGAATAATCCTCTATATAAATATTTTAGAAATCTTTTGACACAAATCACAAAATGCTGAATTACCAATAGCAGCTGATAAAGTTGCTCCTTCCTTTTCTCCCAGAATGCTCATTTTCTTACGAGCTTAATTTATCATATTTTTCCTGTGCAAATGGGATCAAAGTTTTGATCACTTGCTATTTAATATTCTAATTTTCTTATAACGCCCACATGGGGCCCAAGGGCATCTTTGTAAATAAATTTGATGCTAGACCCTAGTGTTCTGTTTCTAGCATGCTAGCATTTTAACATTAATCTTACTATTATAATTAGTTTTCAAATAACAAAGTTTGAAATATACTAACTGTCTAAGTGTATTAGGAAATTTTATGCAATGTTTGCATTTTTGGTATCACAATTCGTATCTCAATTTAGCTGCAATAAGAATTACAATTTTATATATATTTTAGGTGGATTACAGCTTCCAGGTCTCGACTGCAAAAATCTGTGTAAAATATTAGCAAAGGAATTTTTTCTATCTCTTTACTGTCATCTTGTGCCCCTTTGAACTTTTGCAATCCAGATCTGGTAGAAGTTAATGGAATTTATAATAATCATTATAAATTATGCACAGGGGACTATCAGATATTGGAAAACATTGCCTATGCAAGAGGTCAGAATATGATTGGACTCCTGGGACTGATTAGACTGTACTCTAACAATACTTGGTCTTACGGTTATATATTCTTAATTTTCTTCTCCATCTATAAATTTACATATAATCCAACTTTTGCAAAATACTGCCACTGAACCAGCTGATCAACATCTGTATGTGAAATCAGATTTATGAACACGTAGGCTTGTTTAAACATGAAAAGTAAACCAACAATTTATGTACATTCTTGATTAAGATTGATTTAAATTGTTGTCTAAAGAATATAAATAGATATTTTAATATAGCTGAGTTTCTGCCAAATGTAAATTCAACAAAAGAAAAAGAAGGTGCCAAATAATCTACCTTTGCTTCCTTTTATTGTCAAATATTAGACTGTTAAAATCTTATCTTCCAATAGATACTATCTGTTCCAAGCATAGGTTATTTTGCTAGTATTTTGTAGGAAGATAGGTATGTCTTTTTTTCTATTGCTTTTTAAAAAGCATATTAAATAGAAATCTAAAAAAGTAAAAAAAAAACAAAACTAAAATTAAAAAATGAGAATATATAAACATGCTTGTTCAATATTTCTACTTTAAATGATATTTTAGTGACTGTAATCTATGAAAATAATTATTTATTAAACAAATGTATATAGCTGCCCAAGTTAATTACAGCATTTAAATACCAGATAAAAACCACAAATATATGCCATTTACTTCTCTGTTAATTGGTATATTGAAGTCTGAGCAATATAAAAATTCTTGTAAGTAGTTAAGTAAATAATACATATTTTGCACAAATTATTAATTTATTTAATTTATAAGTTACTGATCTGGAACTAATATCTTAGATTTGCATATATTTTAAATCACAGTCATGAAAAGTGAGTTTTACATTCTTTTATGGAATAAATCCTTCAAATTGGAGCAAAATCTCTGTACAACACCCTTCATCTGAAAGGAAGAATACACATCAAGAATAGGTTTAGAAATAACATGAAAAGTCACAAAAGGATCTCAGAGATTTATCCTTATCTTAGAAATGGTCATCCATTAGATCAATCAAAATATTTTTTTTAATGAAACCATGTCTAAAATCAGTTGAAATGAATCCATTATGGATTGATTAAACTGTCCAATTTAGTTCCAAATTTATTATTCCAAATCTTAATTTTGCCTCAAATCAATAGTATCAGCAACAAAATGCCACTTAGCTAGATGTATAACAGCCTCCCAAGTCAGCCATCCATGGTAAAGTAAATAAAATATTTGTTTAAATTGTCAAAAATATCATTAGGTAGCTACTCTAGTGATTTATTGGCCAAATATTACAGCTTTCATGTGAAAAATTTGAAATGTTTTATAATGTCATAAAACAATACTAAATCCTCAAGAGAATTTTCATAGAAATCCAAAATTTAATGACATGCCATCAAATACCAGAACAACTTGTGAAAATTTAGAATATTAATGATGTCACAAAATGAGTCAAGATAAGAAGTGGTTCCTGACTTATAACTATAATTATTTGTTTGGGGTCAAGATGAGAAATAGTTCATGACTTTGCACATCCATTGATTTATTAAATTATGTAATAAAATATGAATGGATTTGAGTGCATATTTATTCTAATATATTATTAGAAAAATAATTTTCACAAACAATTTTCTTCAAAATAGGTTCTTTCTCCTAATAAGTACATAGTGATAAAGTTTTATTTTGGTGTTTAAACCATTACAAGTTATAGAAAGTGCATGTCATCCTCATAACTCAATAACTTAATAACTTCAATCAGAACAGAACTGGAAGGGATGTTGGCAGTCTTCTAGTTGAACCCTCTGCTCAAGCTGGAGACCCTATACTTTATACCAGTGATGGCGAACCTTTTAGAGACTGAGTGCCCAAACTGCAACCCAAAACCCACTTATGCATTGTCGGGTGCTAGGTAGGTGTGGCCCATTGGGTGGGCATGGCTGCGGTAGTAACAGCAGACTGGGTGGAACTAAAAAGTTTAATCAATCAATTCCAACTTTGCAAGATCTTTTTTTTCCCCCGCGAGAAATTGAAATTGACTGATTGATTGAACCTTTTCTTTTTGCACACAGTGGCAGAGGCCTAAAGCGAAAAGGTTTTATAAATCCCAGCTGAAAGCCTAGGCCTGGGACGACGGCGCAAGTGCCCACATAGAGAGCTCTGAGTGCCGCCTCTGGCACCCGTGCCATAGGTTCGCCACCACTGCCCTATACCATTTCAGACAGATGGCTGTCCAGTCTTTTCTTAAAAACCTCCAGTGTATTAATGTATTTAATGTATTAAAGAATATTTTTATTTTTAAAATAAATTTCAAAAGTACAAATTAGATTAGTTTGTACAAACTGTTAATCAAATGAAAATCTCTCTCAATATTACAAATATCCAGTCTTATCTACAGAAGTTGTATAGCCATACTAGTCATGGTAATTCTACAAGGAATAATCCCAACTAGCTATTTGATTTGATCTAAATTTTATAAATATATACAGATTTTATAAATATATTTATCTGGTCTACAGAGATCATCCCAAAGAGGAGGCAAGCAATATGTTTTGATGAATAGTAATCTTTCATTTCATAGCAGCACCAGTCTAAAAATAACTAATAATCCAGTTATCCTTTCAGGTCCACTATAGAGTGCAGAAATGTTATGGTTGATTTTACAAATCTATTTAACAGCCCTAAGGCCAGATACAAAATGAGATCATCATGGTGACTGAATACATTAAAGTAAGAATCAGTCCTTTATAGATATAATATGATAACATGCTGAGAAAGTCCAAACAATCAGTATCTTGGAATAACTGAACTGTGGAGAGTACTGATTGCTAGATTCAAAATAAAAATAAGGAAGCTCTTTTAACAGGTCAGTGCGTATGCAATCAGAATCTGAAATAAACATCTCAATGCCCAATGCAGCTGCAGTCAAGTAGAAGTCAAATCCTGTCAGATTTTCACATGTAAGCTTTCCATAGAGACTTTCCCAGAACCTGTTTTTCAAATGTGTTTTAAAAGTTTTATAATAGTAATAAAATAGAGAAAAGTATACCGTAGAATTGGAAAAAATGATTTCTTTTTGTAACCTATTATATATTTTAAAGGAATATATGTTCAATATTGTATTGCAGGTTTAAAGTGAATACCATGGGAAAGAGATTGGAATTCTTGGTGTTAAAAGAAATGAACACCTGGTTCTTTGGAGGCTGGAAAATTATTTTATCATTTAGAAGTGAGAACATTAGTAACATTAGTAAACTGTTCCAGAGCTTCATGCCTGATTGTCCAGAATGCTCAGAATCATGGTAAGCCATATTAAATTTAAAGAAAAACTTTACAAAACAACTAATACAAAATTGTTTATTTAAAATAGGAATCT